CGCAGACGCGAGCGCGACAGCTTCAAGCCTATAGGCTGAGCGCGTACTCCTCGCGCTCTGATTAGTGCGCGCGCTCAGCCGCTAGGTTCGAAGCTGTAGCTCTCGCGTCTGCGCACGCGTATAATTAATATCAGCTCAACTAAAAATTTTAATCTGCAGTTAATTATTTAGTTATGTTATAATAGTTATTATTTTAGTTACGATCCTAATTTATCATAAAATTCCAATAACCAATAATAAATTTGAGATTCGTTAGCTGAACATGAATGATTTGCATGAAGTTCGAATTCAATTGTCGGCACAGTGGTAATCGTATTAAATTAGCACTAGCGGATACGTATAACTAAATGTTACGAAATATCTCCGGTTACATAAAGGAATGCTTATCGACCGTAATAACGGTAAAAGACATAAGCGTTTGAATCGTAAGCGAATCTGAAAAATGCGATCCATGATTCAAGGAAGAGATACTTGCCTGAGGGCTTGGAAAAAAAGGACGATTGACCCGACAGCCACATAAATTCGAATCTTTGACCCTTCTTCCCGCGTTAGCTCGATGGCTGCTTTACGAGGTTGAATCGATTCCAATTTGGGTCGGAATATAACGCCATTTACCGACTTCGCGACAACCTCTTCTCTCTTGCCCCAGAAAAATCGACTCCCGGAAAAATCAGAATGTTGCTGCTTAAGCTAAATATTCCGTTTATTTTACATTACTTTGAAAACTGACTTTAACCCTTTAACATAAACCTTGCGAGTGACGATGCTTACGACGCTCTTGGAATTTCAACACAGTAATTTTTTTTTCACAGCGACACCATATAGCAGAGAAATAATAAATTCATTTAGTCAACATAAAACTTTGCTATCTGACAACAGTAAAACCTACCAATGAAAAACAAGATGTGTAGTAAAATAAATTGAAGAACACAGCTGAATGTTCAGAGATTTTAATGCCGAATTACCCTGCAAATTCAGACGTGAAGTTAGAAATAATAAAGCAAGAATCAACAGTTCAGTATGCCTCCCACGTATTAAAATCGATTCGAAGGTAAAATTCTCGCGGAGAGATATTTCGAACATCCCCGGTTGATTTATGCGGACCGGAATCCTCCGGCGTTGAATTATTCCGCCGCGTAAGGATTTCAGGAAAGCATCCACCGGAAGCGTGTTGCTCCTCGTCGTTGCACTCTGATCTCGCTTTATTTTCTTACACAAAGTAGAGCATCGATTCCGGCCATCCAAGCCGATTTATACTTCTATCCGCAGAAGGGTACGAAAGATGAAGGGTACTTTGGCACCTGAGGAACATCGTACGACGATAACCGTCTCGTTGGCGTCGTCTGACGTCTTAGCAACCTCGAGCCTTCTCGATTCTCGTCGATAAGAATCGATTGCTCGGTGGGGTGCTAATCTTTCTTTCCTTGGAACTTTCACGAATTTTCGAGATCTTGTTTATCTTCCTTATTTGTATTTTAGTCGAGGTTTATTCTTTTACTTATTTCGAACTTTATTCGAGGATTAACCTCTTGCTTGTTCAATTTTATTCGAGGATTCTATCTTCTGGTTTGTGCAATTTTATTCGAGGTTTCTTTTACTTGTTTCTAATTTTATTCGAGGGTTATTCTCTTGTTTGTTCAATTTTATTCGAGGATTCTATCCTCTGGTTTGTGCAATTTTATTCGAGGATTCTTTTATTCTTTTGTTCGTAATATTTCACACAATTTTTGTTCGTAATATTTCTAGAGAGAGTGGTTACTTTTTACATTTTCAATTCAACGACCTTGTTAGGATAAAAAAGAATGATAAAAAATAACAGATGAAAGTAAAGTAAATAGAATGATAAAAAAGTGTCTGAATGAAGAGATCCAGAGAAATCTAAAGCAAAGGAGGTATAACATGAATCGGTGGAGGTACGATTTCGATGGAGAGTGCGCATGCGCGTAGCGTACCAATATGGCGGTCGAAATGAATAATTTAAAACAGACGAAATTATAATAAAATCTAGTAAAATGGAACAGTACAATTGTTAAAAATATAATATCAAACAAAAATAAATGCAAACGTACACTTTATACTGAATTATTTATTAAAATTCGTTAATTTTCGAATTTCGTAAGAATCTTGAGAATTAAAATCGTAAGATCGTAAGAACTGATCTAGTCATCTTAAAATAGTTTGATTGTTGAGACCAGCAGCTTATCCATGACTCGACAAAAGATGTATTAAACCAATTCATCATCGAACAATTCTTTTCTCCGCCGGCTTAACAAGAGCCATAAGAAGTATTAATTAAGAATCGTTTTTATCGACGAAGGAGGTCGTCGTTAACGTTCCATCACGATTTAACGAATACGGCTTATACGCAGAGGAAAAGAGGGTGAAACAGAGAGAGAGAGGAAGAAGCGAGGAAGCAAAACCATTATGTTGCTTTAACGTAACGTTGGAAATAGGTTAAGGACGTTAAGACCAACCGTAGTGCTACCTCCATCCCTACGAAAATGCAATTTTCATACCGAAAAAAGTGTACTCTGGAAAAATTCAAAAATTCACCTTATCAGCCATAAAGATAATCTTATTCTCTATTATCGTTTATTACGGTATAAATCTCTTTGATCGAATTTTATCAATAAAAAAGTTACAGTATTGCGTAACAATTTGCACATGTACACATTTCATCGCATAAAAATATCACTGACAGCATTTATAGAGCTTGAAGTTCAAAGAAAGCTTTGGGGTCATTAGGGTCCCAACTCTGCAAGGTCCCAACACTCCAGGGTCCCAATACTTAGGGTCCCAACACTCCAGGGTCCCAACTCTGCAAGGTCCCAACACTCCAGTGTCCCAACACTCCAGGGTTCCAACTCTGCAAGGTCCCAACACTCCAAAGTCCCAACACTCCAAGGTCCCAACACTCCAAGGTCCCAACACTCCAAGGTCCCAACACTCCAAGGTCCCAACACTCCAAGGTCCCAACACTCCAAGGTCCCAACACTCCAAGGTCCCAACACTCCAAGGTCCCAACACTCCAAGGTCCCAACACTCCAAGGTCCCAACACTCCTCAAGATCCCAACACTCCAAGGTCCCAACACTCCAAGGTCCCAACACTCCAAGGTTCCAACACTCCAGGGTCCCAACACTCCAAGATCCCAACACTCCAAGGTCCCAACTCTGCAAGGTTCCAATACCCCAGGGTCCCAACACTGTAAGCTCCCAACATTCCAATGTCCCCACACTCTAAGGTCCCAATATTCCAGAGTTCTAATACTCCAGGGTCCCACTACTCCATGGTTCCAATGTAGCACTATTAAAATGGTTAGTTATCAGATCGCTGATGGTCAGCCATCTTGAGGTATGTAATCATTCGATCTCAGCTGTAATTGCACGGTGCTACTTTGTAATACTTTTATGTCATGAAAGCAGTTTTTAAATCTGATTTGTCGTTCGAGACTGGTTTCTAAGACATCGGTATTTTCCACAGGGAATAGCGTGTTTTGTCGCGATACTCGCGGAGGAAATGACAATCATGAAGTAACATTTTAACGAGGTTTACTCCGTGTTGCCAGTTAGAGAATCAGGATAATACGAGTGCACTCGGGAAGTTATACGGTTCTTTCGCTAAATTTAGTCGACGACCGAAAGGGAGATGAAAAACGAGCAGAAGAAAAGGCCTCGTCGCGTAAAAGCGAGAGTACCGCATTCTTTTCGCACGATGGCACGGTTTTTGTTACGAATTTAATAAGTTCGGTCGTCGAGGGGCGAACGAAAAATTTTCCGGGTCGACAGGGTTTTCCGACCAAGAATATCACGCTCGGAAAAAAACTGTTCCTTCCTCTCCTAGTTCTTTTATCGTCGCAATTAACGCGAGATCGTTCGTGAATAAAACTCGCGAGTTCAAGACACTCGAAAGCAGAAAGATCGAGTTATCGTTGATTCTCAAATACACACGAGTATCCTTTTATTTCATAATTTCAACAAAATTACATAAGAAAATATCCCTCAGCGTATCGATCGAGATTATACTAAAAAAAGTGTGTGTTCATATAAATATCCTTCGGACTATTATTAAACAGTAAGTTTAAATACGTCCAGTAAGTGTAAATATTTATGAAATTGACGTCATACATCGGAAAAATTGGGTTCACGGAAGTGGAACGAATTGCAACTCGTGGATTATGGCGTACACGTGAATATACATGCATCGCCGGTGCAGGGATGCACCGGTGTGCAGCCTCTGTATGAATATGCATACACACACTTGTGCACGAGCTGCACGCCGCGGAGCAAATTCGTGCTCATTAGTTTCAACCAGCTGGTACCACGGTCGGCTGTTGCCACGTAGGCTACAATGAAATTAAATCGGACAGGAAAAAAGCGAAATTTTCGGAAATTTGGCCATAAACTCAGAAATTCATAAATTGCAGAATTTACATGTTCACATGTTCACATACTTAATAAGTATAAAAAAATTTGTTAAGTGACTCACTGAATTTTTAAAATAATTCTAACATGTGCACATATGCTCATAAGGATATTAGATTATTAACACTAAAACAATCAAACCGGTCAAATGACCGCTCCACAAGCTTCTTATTATAAGGAGTACATTTTGTTAAAATACATTTCTTGAAATCAGAATTGATTTTCATCAAGATAAAGAATAAGTGTGTGTACAAGTTTATGTTTTGTCGTTTGTTTATTTATTTTTTAATTTCAAATTAAGTATACATTAGATGTCGGTAGGTTTAGCGTTAAAAATAATTCTGATTAGAACATAGACTCCTGTACGATTTTCATCAAGATAAAGAATAAGCGTGTGTACAAATTTATGTTTTGTCGTTTGCTTATTTATTGTTTAATTTCATCTTTAATTTCAAATGAAGTACACATTAGATGTCGGTAGGTTTAGCGTTAAAAATAATTCTGATTAGAACACAAACTCCTGTACGATTTTCATCAAGATAAAGAATAAGTGTGTGTACAAATTTATGTTTTGTCGTTTGCTTATTTATTTTTTAACTTCAAATTAAGTACACATTAGATGTCGGTAGGTTTAGCGTTAAAAATAATTCTGATTGGAACACAGACTGTTGAAAAGTACGAAGCGTCTCAAATTCTGGAATTGAACAGAGTTAGTTAATTTTCCTAGCACGATTACCCTGTCCCCTATTCCGTTTCTCTTCCAAATAATCCAACAGCTGACGTAGCTGTTGAACGCGATCGTTCTTAGCTCCAAGGAAAATATTGAGCTTCCTGAGGTCGTTGGGTGGTTCTCCGCAGATAGCAGGATTAGGACAAGTGGTCCAGACAGGGCCGTCGCTCCACAGAAGATCGAAGCCACCGATTCTCGTCTCCAGGCCCGTGAAACGACCCTCGAAGTCGAGGATGTTGAGCGTGTCGTCTAGCAGGTCGAACTTCAGTCGATAATCCTCGGTGTCGGTACCGGTTAGGGCTGGTGAGGCGTTCACCTCCAGCAACCAGGGTGTTAGATCTTCGTCCAGAAGTATGTCGTAGCCGTACAGCTCGAAGGAGTTCTTTCCTTGCATTATCACCGGCTGTACTGCCAGTAGACTCGCCATTATCACACCTATGCCACATGTGATGATATAATCGTGCATACGTTAAGCATACATATGTTACATGAACGTAAATACATTGTGGAACATATGTGAATATACGTTATGAAATTTTTGTGTGTCAATATAAGTACAGTATGAAATATTTGTGCATGAATGTGTATGTCATGAAATACTTGTATGAATATGAATATATTGTGTATAGGAATGTAATGTATATGTAATGTGTATATGACTGTAATGTATATGTAATGTGTATATGTAATGTATATGTAATTTGTATATGACTGTAATGTATATGTAATGTGTATATGACTACATGTGTATATATGTATATGATCACATGTGTCATATGATGATGTGTATATGGCAAATGACAATAAAGCTAACCAGCGATTCGTTGAAGTAGCACTTCAACATCGGTGATTCCATGTCTAGCAGTGAGGAACTCCCTGACCTTGATCAAGGCCCATTTACAACCCTTCTTCAGCTCCTCCCTCTTCTCGTCACCCTGTATCTTCAACTGTATCGCCATATTGGTCAAATGCACCCTGCTGTCGTCGATGTTCTCCAGATCGAATAACTCGGCGGATAAACGAGCGAAACCCTCTCTGGCCAGCCACACTTTCAAAGGGTGAAAAGAGGTAACTAGAGTGTAAATACGCAGGTCGAATTTCCTCCCTGAAAACGGTGCCGAAACGTTTACAAACTTTCGGGCCATTTGTTGCCGAATAAAAGAGACTCCTCTTGAAGAGTATCTACAGAGCCGTGTAAGACCATCGAAGAAAGTGGCTCTGAATGCAGCCGACATTCAAGCTTCTTCCTTTTCGCCGACGCTGTCACAAAGATTCGGATTTCAAACCCCAGGGTGGTTCGCCACCCTTTCGAACGTGTATTGAGGCATCCTCGACAACCACGGCCATTATTCAACGGTGATAAGCGGCTGAAAGCTGCTACTGTGTAAGACACAAACCTGCCAGGAGGTAAGGATTCTCCACGTATTTCTGAACGATGAACGTCTCCACTGCGGGTTGATCGCGATTTGCCTCGATCAGCTCGGGACCGTATTCTTTATTTCGCCACTCTGCTAGGTCCTTCAGCTTCCTGAACAGGAATATACCTGTTAACGTGGGTGGTGCCACTTTAGTGATAGCTAGAGTTAGTTGACTTTTGCATATCGGTACTTGGAGATATTGGGAACTCGAGATAGGGATTTGATGTTGGGCATTTCTTTTTTATAAATTTCCTGTATTTATATCAACTTAGGACCAAACTCAATGTAGTATTGTTGCTACAGGGATCAATATTCTAGGGTTCCAACACTCCAGGGTCCCAACACTCCAAGGTCCTAACATTCCAAGGTCTAAACTCTGCAAGGTCCCAACACTCCAGGGTCTCAACGCTCCAAGGTACCAACACTCCAAGGTACCAACTCTGCAAGGTCCCAACACTCCAGGGTCCCAACTCTGCAAGGTCCCAACTCTGCAAGGTCCCAACACTCCAGGGTCCCAACTCTGCAAGGTCCCAACACTGCAAGGTCCCAACTCTGCAAGGTCCCAACACTCCAGGGTCCCAACTCTGCAAGGTCCCAACACTCCAGGGTCCCAACTTTGCAAGGTCCCAACACTCCAGGGTCCCAACTCTGCAAGGTCCCAACACTCCAGGGTCCCAACTTTGCAAGGTCCCAACACTCCAGGGTTCCAACTTTGCAAGGTCCCAACCCTCTAAGGTCCCAACACCCCAAAGCCCCAACACTGCAAGGTCCCACCACTCCAAGGTCCCAACTCTGCAAGGTTCTAACACTCCAAGGTCCCAATACTCCAGGGTTCCAACACTTCAGGGTTCCAACACTCCAAGGTCCCAATACTCCAGGGTTCCAACACTCCAAAGTCCAAAACACTCCAAGGTCCCAACATTGCAAGGTCCCAATACTCCAGGGTCCCAACACTGCAAGGTCCCAACATTCCAATGTCCCAACACTCCAAGTTCCCAATACTCTAGGCTTCTAATACTCCAGAGTTCCAATGTAGCCCTATTAGCTCTGAACATTTCGAATCTATTACCTCTTCCCTGCGATCTCCCAGCGGGTTTCACAATCCACGTAGCGCCAGGTTGCTTATGATACTCCTCTGCGAACAGTCTGTAATCATTGGGTAGTTCAAAAGTCAACGGCATGCAGTCGCAAAGTTCAGCCTCGTCGATTTTATTCGACTTGAGCAACGACTTCTTGTAGCGTTTCAGGTTCCTGTGCAGATAGTTCTTACGCGTCAGCTCGTAATGATTGCGAAAGTGGGGTATCTTTTGATGGAAGGCGAGCTTTAAGTCCAAGGCTTGTCGTACGTCGTTGATCTCGCACCACCAGAGACACCAACTGGTGTCCTCGGTATCGGTTACCTTCGGTTAAGAATTCGCGTGGGTGAGGTTATCGTGGACAGGGAAAACTGGATCCTTCCTGAATTAGCGAAAGGAAACAGACGCGAACTGTTTGTGTCAATAAATCGCTTCCTGCTTTTGCAACGTTGTTGCAGGCTATCTTACATCGTAGTTCAATCTTATCTTACTACTATTTCGAGCTTATCTCGGTGCTCCAGATCTCACGTATCTTATTACAAGTATTGTTCTACTATTCTAAGTCTGCAACAAGGTTGTTCTGTTCAACTTCGGACAGCAAAATTTACATTTGCTGGAGTGGGGAAGTCAACTATTATAAGATTAGTTGATCTGGAGTTATTACTTGATTTTTAGGGATTTATATGAAGGGCAGAATTTGGTGAATAGGAACTTAACAGCATTGTGAGAATTAGGGACTTAGGTTCTTTATCATTTCGCAAGTCTATTTGCAGTTCCCTTGTTATCAAAGATTACTTTCATCTTTTTAACCTTTTACAAATGTCAGGAGATAATTTTATGCATTGACTGCGATACTAATTTTTCACCAAAACGTAAAACGTATCAAGAGACGAGTGATTCCATTACCTGGACCCATCCTCTGGCCAGCATCACCTTAACCTGCGTCGAGGGGAAGTCGCAGCGGAATTTGATGACATTTTCGTCTCCGTTCTGCCTCTTTTTCGCGTTGAAATTTCTTTTTTCTCGTTGAATGGATGACGCACAGTTCTCCGTTTCGCTGTCACGACCAGACGCCGTATTCTTGGACATTCTTCAGGTTCAGAATTCCTTTGAATGCTCGAAGGGAATTGATGGCATTCAAGCGGATTAATATATTTCCAAATGTATCGGACAGACTGATGTTAGGTAATGGGGACAAGTTCAGATGTATGCGTAGATGTACACTACCGTCCATAAGTATCCGGACACAAGCGAAATATGCATTCGCGTTGCATGAAAGTTATTCAAGTATCTGCAACAGTAACTAAAATCGATTTTTTTTCTGCGAAGGTCAGAATACTGGAACATTTTTCGATTGATAATTCTCGTTTGGAACTCGTATCTCGATGGAAAAGAAGCTACAGACGAACTAAACCGAAACTGTCGAGCGCGTAGCGTCACCTCCATTCTTATCTCCATTGAGGGAACCTAAACATCTACCAACAGTTTACAAACACTTGAAACATATCGAAGAACCCTCTGAATACGTTCTGCACCATAGAAATGAAACACAGTAGAAATGAAAATTTTTTTTAGAATCGAAAGCGTTTCATTAGATTCACAAATTTGGACTTTGTACTTCTGGACATGAATTTTACTTTCACACTTTCATTGTATAATTTGTACTTAAAAATTAATTCTATTACGTTATGACACCTCGAAAAAGATAATAATAATTATTACAAATGATATGATAACCCTAAATACCTTTCGTACAAAGTTCAACTATGTTTTATGTAACGAAACCAAGTGTCCGGATACTTATGGACGATAGTGTATGTACTGGATGTATTCTACAGAGCGTCTCACAATTAGTGTAGGTCCCACGTATACTAATTGTGAGACATCCTGTATATTATCATAGTTAACATACCAACATCTCCCATTAATTTAATCCATCTGTTACATAAATCTTCCGTCATATTTACACAAACTTAATCGTCTCATGTATTGTATTTTATACCTCACTTATATCATATTTATACACTGCATTATTTAATTACACTTCGTGATATTATCCGATTTAAGCATCTGAATTTTTAGGAATTCTATTCATTTCACAGGCACAAAAGGCATTGAATACTTTAATCCGTCAATTGGCACGCCTATGGGACTAGCGCTTCTGTTATACAACGGAAAAGAAGCTTACGTTGTTTCCTACCTTTTTCGTTTCGTCATTCCAGTAGATACTTGATGCAATATTTTTATCTCTTTACGTAACGTTTCAAATATTTGCATCTTGCTTCTTTGGATCTCTGATAGATTTGCAGATATTCACACTTCGGAGATCAGGATTTTCAGAGACTTTGGATTGGAAGTTTCGTGGAGGTTTTGGGAGACTCAGAAATTTGTAGGTTTTGGAATTTTTAAACTGCAAGGATTTTGATAGACTTTCGATTGGAATTTTAGATTGGAAGTTCGATGCAGGTTTTGAGAAGCTTAGAAATTTGTAGGTTTTGAAATTTTTAAACTCCAAGGATTTTGATAGACTTTCGATTCGAATTTTAGATTGGAAGTTTCATGGAGGTTTTGGGAGGCTTAGAAATTTTTAAACTCCAAGGATTTTGATAGACTTTCGATTGGAATTTTAGATTGGAAGTTTGATGCAAGTTTTGAGAAGCTTACAAACTTGTAGGTTTTGAAATTTTTAAACTCCAAGGATTTTGATGGACTTTCGATTGGAATTTTAGATTGGAGGTTTTGGGAGGCTTAGAAATTTTTAAACTCCACGGATTTTTATAGACTTTCGATTGCAATTTTAGATTGGAAGTTTCATGGAGGTTTTGGGAGGCTTAGAAATTTTTAAACTCCACGGATTTTGATAGACTTTCGATTGGAATTTTAGATTGAAACTTTCATGCAGGATTTGAAAAGCTTAGAAGCTTGTACATTTTGGAATTTGAAACTGCAACTAATTGTTGAGGTAGTAATTCTTGAACTTCGCAAATTGCCAGCCTCAGAGATGAACGTATAAGTTTTGGTACAGGACCATCCTAAAGAATGTTTGTCTTCTTACCTTTGTCCAGTGGTGACGCAAAGAAGAGTCGGAAGAAAGAAACGTCAGTAAAAAGGCAACGAATAACAGAGTGTTTGGCTTCTCTTATTACTCGTCTCGACGAGATCCATTTTTATGAGGGCAACAGAACACCGTCTGTCGTTCGGTGTTCAAAGGGATCCGTCTAGCCGAGCACTTTGCTCGGTTGGCCGGGGATGCGATCGATATATATCGAGTGGGGTCGACAAGAAAGTATGGAAATTCGTCGGGTTAACGGCTAGACAGCAAGAAATAATGTAAATCCGATCCAGGTGAGGTAGCTTCGTCCAGAATTAATTTCACGTGTAAATGCGTTCGTTGGATGGAGAGCTACTGATTGCTCGATGACGAATCAACGCTCTGAGTCAGCCCGAGTGGTATGATCATGCTTGGAATTCATCATTCGTTTTGCTCGCAGACTCGCGCAGCTTTAATCAGAATATTTCTCGTGGAGCATCGGAACAATGCTTCTTGGCTTAAATGGTATAATTCTTCAAGATGTAGGCACTTAAAAATGGTGGTTGTAAGAACTAACTGACGAGAGGAAAAAATGTATTGATTTGGTATGGAGAGTGTCTGATGTTACTAGTTTGATGCATTTTTTCCTGTTATCGATAGTAGGCGAGTTATTTAGGTAGCTGGTAGCCTCACTGTGTATACTGACATTTTGGCATTGCTAAATGCGGTGCACTTAGAAAGACTTATGTAGACCTATGTGTGCTTATCTAGACCTATATGTACTCATGTAGACCTATGTATACCTATGTAGACCTATGTGTGATCATGTAGACCTATGTATGCTCATGTAAACCTATGTATAGCTATGTAGACCTATGTATGCTCATGTAGACCTATGTATGCTCATGTAGACCTATGTGTGCTTATCTAGACCTATGTATACCTATGTAGACCTATGTGTGCTCATGTAGATCTATGTATGATCATGTAGACCTATGTATGCTCATGTAGACCTATGTGTGCTTATCTAGACATATGTATGCTCATGTAGACCTATGTATGCTCATGTAAACCTATGTATACCTATGTAGACATATGTATGCTCATGTAGACCTATGTATGCTCATGTAAACCTATATAAACCTATGTATACCTATGTAGATACCGAAATACCTACATCTCCATATAGCTACATTGCGATACTCACAGATACTAATATACCTAAATCCCGAAATATCTACATTCCCATATATCTGCATATTGGTACACCGTCTCGATATAGCTACATACGATACACCTACGTATCTATATCTTCAAATACCTACATCCCGAAATACTTGCATTTAAATATACCTATATCCCGATATACCTACATCTGATGCTGCTAGATACCGAAATAGCTACATCCCGATATACTTGCATTCCCATATGCCTATATATCGATAGCTTGATACCTTCACATCTTGGTACTCTCACATCCTGATACACCTACACCCAGATACTCTCACGTCCCGATATACCTTCGTCCCAATATCTCAATATTCTGATACTCTCATATCCCAGTACCTTCATATGTCGATACTCTCACATCCCGAAATCTTCACATCCCGAAACCTCCACGTCCCGAAACCTTCACATCCCGAAACCTTCACATCCCGAAACCTTCTCGTCCCGAATCCACCACGTCCCGAAACCTTCACATCCCGAGACCTTCACATCCCGAAACCTTCACATCCCGAGACCTTCACATCCCGAAACCTCCACGTCCCAAAACCTTCACATCCCGAAACCTCCACATCCCAAAACCTTCACGTCCCGAAACCTCCACGTCCCAAAACCTTCACATCCCGAAACCTCCACGTCCCAAAACCTTCACATCCCGAAACCTCCACATCTTGAAACCTTCACGTCCCGAATCCACCACGTCCCGAAACCTTCACATCCCGAAACCTTCACATCCCAAAACCTTCACATCCCGAAACCTCCACATCCCGAATCCACCACGTCCCGAAACCTTCACATTCCGAGACCTTCACATCCTGAAACCTCCACGTCTCGAATCCACCACGTCCCGAAACCTTCACATCCCGAAACCTTCACATCCCAAAACCTTCACATCCCGAAACCTCCACATCCCGAAACCTCCACGCCCCGAAACCTTCACATCCCGAAACCTCCACATCCCGAAACCTCCACATCCCAAAACCTTCACATCCCAAAACCTTCACATCCCGAAACCTTCACATCCCAGAACCTTCACATCCCGAAACCTTCACATCCCGATATACCCACACCCTCTACTCCCACATATCCACATCCACTCCACCATGTCAACAACCCCATACCCCATTTCCCTCCGCCGAATACTCCGGTATCCTCGATACCCCGATTACTATGCCTCATTAAAAAAATTGCCGCGTAAGTTTATTTTAAGCAGACCGTAACAAGAGGCAGTAACCAGTAGCCGTACACGGGGTACAAGTTAGGTTACGAAAGCACATCGCGTGACATCCCATTGACATTGACACTGTATCATCGAGCGTGCTCGTGCATCTTCCAAGAAATCAGATAACCCTTATCTTGAGCGGGAACAGAAAGAGAGAGAAGAGCATCGCAACGGAAGTAAGTTGGCCAATCGGTAGAACAGAGACACCGACAGGCGGAAACGGCCGGTAGAAGATAACGCCGATATAAATAGCTATTATTTTCCACCCACGTGGCTTTTCTATAGCGTGACGTGACGATTGCCTGTGTCACGCTGGCCTCTGTCAGCGGTCCCTAGACACCTCTTCGCGTGTAAAGCCTCGTTCACATTGTTACACGAAGTGCATTAGGGAATGCGAAATTTTCTGGCGTGGAGATAATGGGACACGAGGTATTTCGGGTATTTGGCTCGGTGTACCGTGACATTTTATTTGTTTTGGCATGGTAGGGTAGCTGTGGGTCGGTAGCTGTTTTGTTGATCATATGACCGAATCTACATTGAATCATTTTGTGCTATACATAGTTGTGTTGGCAATAGACTTTGCTGATATCGACATGTGACTAAGGGAATCTCTATTGAATCTGATCAGTTATTTTGTGATGTATGAGACTCTATTGGATCTGATCATTTTGTGCATCTATAGATGTGGAGTGTTAGCAATAGTTTGATATCCTTATATGACTACGTGAATCTCTATTGAACCTGATCAGCTATTTTGTGATATATGAGTCTCTATTGGATCTGATCATTTTGTGCATCTATAGATGTGGAGTGTTAGCAATAGTTTCATATCTTTATATGACTACGTGAATCTCTATTGAATCTGATTAGCTATTTTGTGATATATGAGTCTCTATTGGATCTGATCATTTTGTGCTTCTATAGATGTGGAGTGTTAGCAATAGTTTCATATCCTCATATGACCACGTGAATCTCTATTGAATCTGATCAGCTATTTTGTGATGCTGTCTCTATTGGATCTGATCATTTTGTGCTTCTATAGATGTGCAGTGTTAGCAATAGTTTGATATCCTCATATGACCAGGTGAATCTCTATTGGATCTGATCATTTTGTAGACCTGTAGCTGTGGAGTGTTAGCAACAGATCTTGCTGATATCGACATATGACCAAGTGAATCTCTATTGAATCTGATCAGCTAGTTTGTGATGAGTCTCTATTAGATCTGACCAGCTCTAGGATCTGACCACCTAGCTGTGGAGTGTTAGCAATAGACTTTGTTGATGTCCACATATGACCAAGTGAATCTCCACTTCATTCAGTCCATAATACTAACATCATATCATAAGTGCCACAAAATATCACTTTCGATATATCAATCCTTATCATAAAGCTTAGCTACCAATTCACAAGATTCTAGCTACCGATCATCAATATTAACAGTAAGAACATCAACAGTCAATTCTCAGTCACAGAATTTTATTCCAAATTTCTGATCGATCGTTGTGAAACACTCTAAAGGAAACGAGAGACAGACCTTTTAGCCGTGGACAGCGTGACTCGAACATCGATCTGTCGACGCTGGCACACGCGTGCACTCCGCGAACCGTGTTCGGTCGGTGGCCCCTGCGTGACTCGAATGATATGTCGACCTGCATCGCGTGTACAGACCGGCCAACATTGACACGTGGCTGTATCAATTATCACGGGTAACAACAACCGAACGCACGCTTTCATTGGCTTTTAGCCGACGTTGCGTTCGTTTTGCACTTCAAACGGATTTTTCATGCGAGGTACCCGTTAGAACACTCGGCCGGATTAGACTGCCTTTTTTCATTCGAGCTTAGGGGATGAATCGCGGAAATTAAATTGGCAAAAACTAACGGGGAACATGATATTCCATTGGGAACGCGGTAAAAAAGCTCCCGTACTATTTTTGGAAATTTGAAACCATGTTATGAGTGGTCTAATGGTGAAGTCTGTGATTTTATGGGGATATTTTTTGCGGGAGAGAAGGTTGGACTATTCATATCTTTTTAGAAGGGAACTGAAAATTTGTGAAATTAGGTTTCAGTGGTTTTGATGATGTGAAGTTTTAGTATTTGGTGTTTAGAATACTACAAGGTTTTATTACTCATAGGTTCCAGTAGTTCGAGGTTTTAATACCTCAAGGTTCAGCCACTCTCCTAGGTCCCAACACCTCAAGGTTCCAATACTCCACGGTCCTAATATCTCAAGATTCCAATACTCCACGGTCCCAATATCTCAAGGTTTCAATACTCGAAGGTTCCAACACTCCAAGGCTCCAACACTTCAAAGTTCCAATACTCCAGGGTCCCTGCACTCTAAGGTTCCAACTCTGCAAGGTCCCAGTACTCCAGGGTTGCAACACTCCAAGGTCCCAATACTCCAGGGTTCCAACACTCCAAGGTTCCAATACTCCAGGGTTCCAACACTCCAAGGTCCCAATACTCCAGGGTTCCAACACTCCAAGGTCCCAACACTGCAAGGTCCCAACACTGCGAGGTCCCAGCACTGCAAGTTCCCAACTCTGCAAGGTCCCAATACTCCAAGGTCCCAACACTCCAAGGTTCCAACTCTGCAAGGTACCAATACTCCAGGGTCCCAACACTGCAAGGTCCCAATACTCCAAGGTCCCAACACTGCAAGTTCTCAACTCTGCAAAGTCCCAACACTCCAGGGTCCCAACACTCCAGGGTCCCAACACTCCAAGGTTCCAACTCTGCAAAGTACCAATACTCCAGGGTTCCAACACTCCAAGGTCAAGGTTCCAACTCTGCAAAGTACCAATACTCCAGGGTTCCAACACTCCAAGGTCCCAACACTGCAAGGTCCCAACTCTGCAAGGTCCCAACACTACAATATTCAAACACTGCAAGGTCCCAACACTGCAAGGTCCCAACACTGCAAGGTCCCAACACTCCAAGGTCCCAACACTCCAATGTCCCAACTCTGCATGGTCCCAACACTGCAATATCCCAACACTCCAAAATCCCAACCTCCGAAAGTACAGTTACTCCAAGGTCCCAATATCCCAAAAGCCTCTAAGATCTCACAGTCCTCCGAATTATCGATTTCTACTCGTCGAGTGTCCACCTGCCTCGAAGATCGTAAACGTAATTGGAGAATCCCAGTAGCTCGTTTGCGATCATAAATTCTGATTAACATTCCAATATTCGCTTAATGACCGAAATAAATTTATTCGCGGATCAAAATGGGTCACCTTGCGAACCGTTGACGTCGAGCAAGATACGGGACGCTTCGATTTAAATTTCAGGGTCCTCCACTGAAAATGAAAGTGAATATCGGTTTGAAACCTTGAAGCAGCGTACGTGACGTTTCCAGTGCCTTGCATTTATTTTTACATGATCCTCTTGAGGCTCGATCGTTCCTCAGAGACTCATCAATTTATCTGATCCAATTAAAGCACTTTTCAGACGGAAATCGTGTTCGTATTACCGGCGAATTCGTCTCGGTTTACTCGTTTTCGTACGATTGCGGCATCGATAACACGTGCTTCAATTAACTCATTGATAAAAGTAGATCTCCTAACATTTTCTTGGAACATGTCTAAACATGAATCTTGTTATGAACGTGAATGCATTCGATCGCAAATCACGAACTGATTTGGGTCACGTTAAAAATAAAGAAAAACTGAATATTTATACAGGAGTATCAAAATGATCAGTCCGTATA